ATGCGCGCGCTCGCCCAGGCCGGCGTGCGGCTCCGCGGCCCAGTCCGAGGCTCAGGCTCTTCGCGGGCAACGGAAAGGCGCGGCCGGGGCAGGGCCTTCAGGCAGTACCGGCTGTTGAGGGGCGCTCCGACCGCAGGCCTCCCGCCTTCTTTCTCCCCCGAGCTCGGGGCGGTGGAAGGACAGCTCCCCAGGGAGACTGTGAGGACGTGGGGGCGGGGAGGCCCCTCCATCCGGGCTGCGCGGGCGGGCGGCGAAGGAGGTGGTTGACTCGAGGTAAGAGCAGGCTGGAGCCTTCCGGATGGTTCTGGATACTGGCGGGAGCTCCTGTCTTGGGGCTGTGATTCCCAGAGTCCTGGAGAGAGTCTGTTTGATAAAGCTTGCAGCGGATATCGTCCCTCCCAAAGACACCGAGTTACCGTGTCTCCCAACTAATAAAACGAGCCCAGCCGGGTTTCCCACGCTGGCCAGGAGCAGTGATTTCTTGAGGCCCAAGTCGGGTCCTCAACACAGGCTGAGATTTGGGTTTTGACCAGTGTGTGTGTGTGCGCATGCGCGTGCGTGTGTGTTTGGGGGGGGTGGGATGCATAAATCCCAGAGCACCTTCACAGTATTGCTTCTGCTTTATCAGTTTTAAAGCTCTCATTTTAGTTGTTTATGTTTACCACAGCTCGTTTTAATTTCACGGGTTTGCCTGCTTTTCCTCACTGGCAGTGTTTGTCTTAAATTCTGTAGGGTACAATGTCCGAACAAGAGCGTATCCAGGACTGTCTGAGGAAAGAAATAAGGTCACTTCTTATTTCCACTAAAGACGGTTTGACCCCACAGCAGTTGGAAAAGGAGTACCTTTTGATGGTTGGCAACCGTCTGCCACTCCGAATCCTCGGCTACCGCTCCACTATGGAGCTGGTGTTGGACATGCCTGATGTGGTTTGTGTCTGCCCCAGTGGGGATGGTACCTTAATATTGAAAGGTAGGTTTAAGATTTTTAAAGGCCTTTGAACTTTGTAATTAAAGATAATCACTTAGTGAAGAATTCTTTTAGTTCCTCAGTGATTCTGCCTCCTAGGCAGTGAATTTTAACTTGAGGGGTGGGTGGAATCACACGGTCTTTGATGATGTAGGCTGTCAGCATCACAGGAAAAACTGTATTCATAAAAACTGAATGTTCATGATTTCAGATTATTGCACCTTAATTTCAGAGAATAACAATAGGAGTTTTAAACTATGAAAACTTGTTTCAAATTCCATAAAATGTACATGAATGCAAGCTGCGCTTACACATACACAAATCATTGTAGTTTGTTGCTCATCCCAAGAATTTCAAGTCTTTCAGGAGCTACAGTAATTATCAGTGATGTCAACCATTGGGTTCTTTCATTTTCCGGTAGAGGAGCTAGCAGGTTGTTGCCCAGAATGTAGAAAATGGAGCAACCAAAGGCATTACGTTTATCATTCAACATAGATAAACAGCTCTTTGGAGAATTAAGAATTGTCTATGTAAGCATAGTTACAAAAGATAAAGGGAGTAATTTTTTCATCTAAATGTGATTTTTCCCTCTCACTCTCTTTAGCCATTCCAGATGAATCCACCAAAGGAATAGCAAGTTTAGTCGCAAAGCAGAGGAGTAGCCATAAGGTTCAAAACTCCATGCAGAAGGGAAGGGCCAGTATTTGCTCTGGGACAAGTTCTCACCGAGTGCCTTACCGAGGAAGGGTGCCCCCTATTCTTCCTGCTGTTGTGAAGAGTGAGTTGAAAGACCTCTTGGCATTGTCTCCTGTTCTTCTTTCTGATTTTGAGAAGGCATTTGCCAAGCGATTTGGACGGTCATTTCAATATATGCAGTATGGATTCCTCTCTATGTTTGAAGTGCTGAATGCAGCTTCAGATGTTATTTCTGTAGAACAGACCAGAGCAGGTTCTTTATTGATGCTGAAGAAGAGTGTATCAGAGGAGAGGCATAGAAGATGGCCAGCAGGTAAGCATGTTGGCGTTAATAATTGTATTGTGGATGAGCAAATATTGGAAAAGTCATTACTTTGTAGAGGTAGGTAATGGCTAAGCTTCATGGGTTTGTTACAGTTGAAACCTGGCTCTACCACGTGCAAGTTGAGTGATATCAGTCAAATTACCTGCACTGTCTAAGCATTAGTTTCCTCATCTCTGAAACAGAGATGTAGTGGAATTGTGCTGAGGATCTCACATGAGCTGTAAGGAAGCCTATAAAGAGTTTGGCATCCACTAAGCTCATAATAAGTGATAGCTAAAGGCCCAGGATGAGGGTGATTGTCTTTCTCCTGAGATAGTATATAGTTTATGCACTGAGCAGAAGGGCAGTCTTGTTTTGGAGCATTTTATCCCTATTTCAGTGATTTTTTGTTTTTCTTCAAAGTCCATGTTTAAATTAATCGAGGTGAATTATGAGAATGTGTCAAAAGATTACAAAGCAGTATTTAAACTGATGGGCAGTGTAGTTTGAAGAGAAAACAAAAATGTAATGTGTCAGAGAAAGCTCTGGAAGCTACTGAGTGTTTCAGGTCTAGCCTTCAACCTTATCAGTATAATTGAGGTACTCAGACTTAGAGAAACTAATAAATCATGCTATTCAACTTGTGGAGTTGTGTAAAGATGTTTGCCAACTTAAATAGTGGAGGGAGATACTCTTTCCCGGTGATTGGCTTGCTTATATATTCTTCATCCATAACCTCCCTTTTCCAAGATCTCTTGGAATTAATTGGTAAATTTGGTACTTAGTTTTAGGGTAAAGAAAGAGCTAGGCCATGGTGTTTTCCAATGATACATCTTTTATTGGAAACAGTGCACTTACCCAGTGATATTCCTCCCTCCCACCCACAGATCTAAAAGAAAAACACTTAAACTCTAGGTAGGGTAATATCTTTTATTATGTCGTTTTACCTCTCCCTCTTTCCGTACTACTAGGTGATTATCCATTTTGATAAGCATATTTGTAGTCACATTCCTCAGCTGGAGATTTTTTGGTATTCTAAATGAGTTACAGCTTTTTAGGCTTTTACCTATGAAATCCTGCCTTTCTGTAATTATATTCAGGTGACCTTAAGTGGAAGTTTAGATAGCCCCAACCTTTTTGGTAAAATACTTATGTCTTGTGTTTTTCTTCTATGAATGACCAATCACTTCTATAGTATGTAAGTTTTATTGACTTACTATAAAAACATAAGCTTCCTTTAATTTTTACTTCTGAGTTGAGGGTAGTTAATTCTCAGTAGTCTCTGAGTGTAATCACCAAAAAATAAGCTAGAAAATGGTAGTGACAATTTTTCTTCTTTTATTATTCACAAAAGGTAAAATTTTCACCCAGCCATTTAGAATGAAACAACGAGGGTCATATTCTACAGGCTGCCCGGTTACAAAGCCATGTTTTCCACAACCCATTTCAAACATGGAACTACCAAAGCGAATAGTGAACATGGAGAATACTTCCACATTCAGTACAGGGAAGACTTCAAGGCTGAATCGCACTGAAAAACTAAACCAGGTGAGATATTTGGGTTTAGGTATAAAATTACAGTATACCAAAAATATGTTCAGTGGTTGGTATTATTACTTATCTGATGGAAAAGCTGAACCTTTAAAAATTTGCCTAAGCATTTTCTGTGGTTCTGTTGATTAGTAAGAAGTGAGAGGTGAGTGAGAAAAGAATGCAGTGTTGTCAACTCTGGCTTTTATCATTTTCTACAGATGATTCCTAAAAATGTTTCTTGAGTTCCATGTTCTCACCAAAGTGAGAGCAGCATATTTACCGGTTACTTCATGAATATGTTCACCTGAATGGGTGATCCTGAGCACCACAATCCTGGTATTTTTCTGTGACTATGATCCTCAAGGACTTTGTATAAAAACTAGTGGAATATAACTAACTGATAAAGTCCTGATTAAATTTTGCCTGACAGGAATTTAATTAAAGCTTGGAATAAACACACAAACATTAAATTCAAGACATAAAAGTGTCTTATTTCTGTAACTGAAAAAATTAGCTTTGGTACCATAACTTAAATATAGTAAAATTTATGCACTTGAGAAATACATTTTAAATTTTGATGAAGTTAGTCATGTAATCAATGTTGAAATGAAGAACATTTCCATCATCTTCAAGCGGCTCCTTCCTAACAGTTTATCATCTCTTGCCAGCTGCAGCCACAGTTACTACTGCTTTCTGTATTTTTGATTTTCCATATAAGTGGAATTGAACAGTATTGATCTTTTTCTGGCTTTAACTTAGCAGAATGCTTCTGAGATTCATCTAGGTTGTAAATTGTTCCTTTTTTCTCATTCAGAAATATTTCATATTGATATCCCTCAATTTGTTATTTGTTAGTATATTTGCCTTTTTCTGTTTGGGGCCATTACTAATGAAAGCTCTAAACATTTGCACACACTTGTATGGACATAGTCTTGGGTAAATAATTAGGAGCTCCTTACCAGGTCTCATAGAAATTACATGTTTATAATGAATTTCCAATCTGGCTGAATGATTACTTTCTCATGAGACATGCATGAGAGTTCTAGTAGCTCTCCATCTTTAACATTCGTGTTGTCTCTTATCAGGGACATGTTTTGCAAATGTTTCCTTGGTCTGTGGTTTGACTCTTTTTACTAATTTTTATGGAGCAGAAGTCTTTAGTTTTGGTGAAGCCTAATTCATATTTTTAGCTTATGGTTCTTGCCTACCTAATCTTTGCTGAATCCAAGTCACAACAGCTTTCTCCTACGTCTTTTTAAAAAAATATTATGGTTTCATTTTTTTGTTTAGATTTATTACCACTTCAAGTTAGTATTTGTACTAGTATTTGTGTTAATGTTACTTACCAGGTAAGAATCAAAGTTTTCTACATATGGACAACCAGTTGTTCCAGCACTATTTGTTGAAAAGACACTCTTCTCCCTATTGAGTGCTTTTTCTGCTTTGGGTACTGGGCATTGAACTCAGGCCCTTCACATTGAGCTACATCCCAAACCTTTTCTAAAATTTTTTGAGACAGGATCTTGCCAAATTGTTCAGACTGGGCTTGTGTTTGTGAGCTCCTTCCTCAGCTTCCCGCACTGTTGGGATTACAGGCATGTGCCACCACTCCTGGTTTCATTAGGCTCTTCTGTCAAATCTGTTGACCAAATAAATATGTGACTCTATTTGAGACTTTATTCTAGTCCCTATATCTACATGTCTGTCATTTTGCCAATACCACACTGTCTTAATTTCTACAGCTTTATAATACTTTGAAATTATGCAGTTGAATCCAGTGATTTTATTCTTCAAAATTGCTTTGGCTGTTCTAGATTTTTGCATTTCTGTATACATTTAATTTGATATAAATCAGATAGTTCTTACCAAAAATTACTATAATTTTGATTAGAATTGCATTGGATATATCGACAAATTTTGCAGGGATCACGTCTTTATAATACTGAAATCAGCTAATTCAAGAGCATGGTATATATTTTCTGTTATTTAGGATTTTAAATTCAGCAGTGTTTTATAGCTTGCATAACACTTGCATATATTGAATTTATTCCTTACATCTTTCTTTTTTAATTTTTATTTTATTGATGCATGTTTACAGTACATGAAGTTTACGTTGATCTTGGGAAATAGGTACATATGCATAACACATATTTTCCCCTTTTTTTAATCCTCTTCCAACCCACCTACCTCCTTCCCTCTGTAAACCCCATTTCTTCATTTTCATTGTTACTATTTTTAGCTCAGTTTATGACATACAATGTTTACATTTACTGTGGGTATTTGATACTTGTACATGGTCTAGCATAAATCTTCCTTCCCCTAATGCTCTTCCCTTGCCTTTGGTATTATGGACACCTTCCCATTTGCAAGAGATCTATCCCCTTGTCTACTTCTATCCATCCTTTTTCTCTTTGTTTGCATTTTGCCTTACTCAAATGAGAGGTACCATATGGTATCTAAGCTTGTCTGATTTATTTCACTCAATATATTTTTCAGATGCATGTATTTTCTTACACAAAACTTTGTCTCAAAGTTTTCCTTCTTTATACCCAAGTAGTATTCCATTATGTATAGATACCATATTTCCTTATCCGTTTGTCTGTTGATAGGATATAAGCTGTTTCCAGGATTTAGATTTAATAATTGTGCTGCTATAAATATTGGTATGCATGTATTGGTATAATATGATGTCTTTAGCTGTTTTACAAAGATACCTAGAAGGAATAGCTGGGTCAAATGGAATTTCTAATTTTAGTTCTTTGAGAAATCTCCATACTGATTTCTGTAATAGTTGTACTAGTTTACATTCCCACCAGCAATGTAGAAGGGTTCCTTTTTCACTGCAGTCATGCCAGCATTTGTTATTCTTTGACTTCTTGTGTATTGCCATTCTTTCTGGTGTAAAATGAAATTTTATTTTAATTTGCATTTCTCTAATGGTCACAGATGTTGGACATGTTTTCATATATTGGCCAATTGTTGTACTACTATTTCTGAGAAGAGTCTATTCTTTTCACTTGCCCATTTACTATTATAAGTGGTATTTTCTTTTTTTAAGAGAATTTTTAAAAAACAATAAAAATGATACAGAATTCAAAACAAAATGATAGGAAATTAACAGTATTTGTTATTGCATTTTGTTCAGAGTAGTTGCTCAGATTACCATACATAGGCATGTAAAATTGATCAAACAATGTAAGCACTGTTCCTTTCAGTAAACTAATAGAAATTAGTAGTACAATTATCTTAGCTATCTTGTGTGTATATGTGCATATATGTGTGCTTTTTTCCCTTCCTTTTTCACTCCTTTCCCTCATCCCAATGGTTATTTCCTTTTAAGCAGTTTCTTTCCTCTCACAATATCTGTTGTACATTTTGGATTTTATACTCTTTCAGTTTCTTACATTAGGGAGACAATGTGATGTTTACACATGTGAGTCTGATTCATTTCTCTTATGAGTATGGTCTCTAGTTGCATCCACGTACCTATAAAAGCTTCAAGTTTATCTTTCTTTATAGTTTAGTAATACTCCATTGTATAACAATAACACATCTTTTTTATCCATTTCTCAGTTGATGGGCATTTGGGTTGTTTCCAAGATTCAGCTATTACAAATTGTGCTGCTATAAACAAGGGTACACGTATATCACTGTGGTATGATGTTTTCCATTCTTCTGGGAAAATACACAGAAGGGGAGCAGCTAGATTGAATGGGACTTCTAATCCTAGTTTTTTGAGGAATCTCCACACGGATTTCCACAGTGGTTTCACCAGTCTACACTGCCACCAACAGTGGAGAAGGGTTCCCCCCCCCAGCCTCTCCAGCATTTGTTATTGGTTAATTTTTTTGATGATAACCATTCTTTCTGGGGTGAGATGGAATCTTAGTGTTGTTTTAATTAGTATTTCTCAAATGACCAGTGATGCTGACAGTTTTTCATATTTTTGTTTTCTGTTTGTATTTCTTCCTCTGAGAAGTGTGTATTCATCTCAGATGCCCATTTTTGTTTTGAGTCTTTGAATTGGGGGGGGGCTGATTTTTTTAATTCTTTACATGTTCTAGATAGAAGTCCTTTGTCTGAGGGACAGTCAGCTAAAATTTTTTCCCATTCTGTGGGGTTTCTTTTCACTATGTTGGTGATTTCTTTTCATGTGCAAAAACTTTTCAGTAAGATGAGGTCCCAGTTGTTGATTCTTTGAAGTATTTCCTGTGCAGTGTAGTTTTTGTTCATGGACTCTCTACTTAGCCCTATGTCTTCAAAATTTCTGCCTATTTTCTTTTCCAGTAGATTTAGTGTTTCTATTTTAATATTTAGATACTTGACCCATTTTGACTTTAGTTTAGTGCATGGTGATAGACATGGGTCTGGTTTTAGTCCTCGGCAGTTTTCCTAGCACCATTTATTAAAGAGGCTGTCTATTCCAGTGAACAGGTTTGGCCCCTTTGTCAAAGATAAGGTGGCTGAGTGTGTTTATAGCTGTGTGTTCATCTTCCAGTCTGTTCTATTGATCCTTGGGTCTCTTTTTTTGCCTGTACCATGCTGATTTTTATCACAATAGCTTTGTAGTATAATTTCAGATTCATTTCACAAGCGATTGTGATGCCTCCTGCCTTGCCTTTGTTGCCCAGGATTGCCTTTGCTATTCTAGGTCTTTTTCTGGTTCCAGATGAATTTTAGGAATGTTTTCTCTAAATCTTTGAGGTATACTAATGGTATTTTAATGGTATTTTGATCAGGATTGCTTTAAATCTGTGTAACAGTTTTGGGAGTATTGCCATTTTCACAATGTTGGTTCTTCCTATCCATGAGCAAGGAATACCTTTCAATTTTCTGAAATCTTCTTTAACCTCTTTTATCAGAGTAATGTAATCTTCAACATCATTAGTCATTCGAGAAATGCAAATTAAAACAACACTGAGATGTTGTCTCACCCCAGTAAGAATGGCTATCATTAAGAAATCAACCAATAACAAATGCTGGCAAGGCTGTGGAGAAATAGGAACTATTCTCTA